TACGTTTGGTATGGTTACATGAGACAGAAGATTACTTAAGGCAAAAACTTAAGTAGGGTGGTTGGTTGGGTTGGATGGATGGATGGATGGATGGGTGGGCTTATAAAGTGAACGTTTAGCAACCCAAAGGTTGTGTGTTTGAATCTCATCACGGACAACTTTGACATTTTAGCTAATTAGCAACTTTGTAACTACTTACTAGATTTTAGCTACTTTGCAACTACTTAGCATATTAGCTAACCATTCCCCTAACCCTAACCTTAACCCGTTAACCTAACTCCTAACCTTAACTTTAACCCTAACCTTAACTCAAGCTAGCAAGTGAGAAGAGCCTGCATTGCGACCATTTTTGTTTGGCAAAACAATGTGGCTGCCAATCGAATCAACGACCAGTCGGCTTGACTGGGAACAATACCAATCAAAAGACCAGTCAGCTTTGCTGCCAACGATGCTAATAGAACGAATGATGACCTCGACTTAATCTCGGGCCTAACAACACCCTTGCCAGTATATCCTCCAAACCAAAGCTGTTTAATATACCGGTAGGTCCTTATAAACCATTTACTAATCATTAGTTAAGTCTTTTTGGGTGGCCTAATGTAAAGTGAGGGCTATTTATACTTTATAAATACTTTTAAATGTTTTGAGTGTAATTTCTCACAAAAAGATGGTCATACCATTTGTAGACATTCCAGCAGTACCTAATGCTCCTTATGGTCTCAAAACAGCCTAGAACATATCAATGGTAAAACAATAAGCACACAACACAGGATGTTTAAAAGACTGAAGCATTGGAAGCATTCTTTTTTAAATGTATTTAAGCTTTATTTTAGCAGGGAGTCCCATGGCTTCGTTTCCAGGGCAGCAGTGCAGGAACATAATTGACAAAATGTACAACAAACACAACGTAATAAAACATACAATACTACAAGCAATTTAAGAACAAACACATTCCTCAACAATGAGGTCCTTCATTAACAACTTGAACTGACCTGGAGGCACCAGATCATCAAGGTGCAGAGAACTTTGCAAATCACTCCCGACGATTTCTAGAACGCAAACACATTTTAGGGTCAGAACGAGAACACGTGGGTAAAGTGGCATTTTGAAAATGGGTTATTGGCTTTGATACTCTGATTGGTTAGAGATGATCCAATCGCTGGTGACTTTGTTTTGTACAACACCCCTCATTTTGATGTCACCACAAACGACTTCAACAATAGCAGTCTCAGACTGAAGTATATAGCGAACATAGAGCAGTGGAATAATTCAGTTTGAAGTGTCAGGCAAAAGTTATGTACTATTATATTTGATATTATAACACTGGTTAAGAATGGGAGGGTCCAAGACGTGCCGCTCAGCCCACCACCCACCACATGATTGACCAGTAGGTCAGCCAGACCCCACAGCCAGGCTGAGCCGCCCACACGCCTCGACCCTCAACAGTATAGTCAATTCTTTAACTCTCTGCCCAAAACTATTTCATTCCCACCTCTTATTTTGTAATTTGCCAAGGGAAGGGTTTGGAAACAAAAGTTAAAAAAAACAAAACAAAAATACATACACCTACACATATACAGGTAATTGCCAAAGTAATGGAAACATTTAAGTGAATGAGGGGTACAAAGTGTATTGAAAGCAGGTGCTTCCACACAGGTGTGGTTCCTGAGTTAATTAAGCAATTTACATAATGTATAAAAATGCTGGGCAGGCCATTATTTTGGCTACCATGGTTATGCCCCCACAGGATGACAATGCCCCCATCCACAGGGCACAAGTTACTGAATGGTTAGATGAGCATGAAAACGATGTTAACCGTATGCAATGGCCGTTTCAGTCACCAGATCTCAACCCAATTTAACACTTAAGGGAGATTCTGGAGCGGCGCCTGAGACAGCGTTTTCCACCACCATCAACCAAGCACTACATTTTCCCTATACCCATCATGAGGTTGCTACAACCTAGCCAATAAATGAAAGTTTACAATGTAGGTGCACACAGGTCGAGAGAACATTTTGAGGTGACAGACAGTGATACATGGACAGACAGTGACACATTCAATGCTGCTTTGCACACTCTTGCCTGCATGTAGCTTTTCTGGTATTTTTATCCCTGTTTTGTTTGCTTCCGTTTAAGAAACGTTTGTCAACAGAATCGGCGGAATGAATACACCCCTGATCACACGTCAACACAGTTCACTTTCATAGCAGCCACGTTTTATTTCTTCTTACCTCTATGCACTCTCCTCCTCATACCTTTTCCCTTCGTTTGTGGACTTCAATGCACAACGCATCAGCTGTATGTGATCAGGCGAAAAAAACTTTCCAAGCCAAACCATGTCATAACCGCTACACACAGCCTACATCGTTGTCCCCATATTAGCTAAAGTAACGTCCTAGTCAACATAGCTAATAGAACTAACATGTTAGTAAACCCGCTACAATCATGCAGTAACGTTAAACTGTATAGTCAGTATGCAGTTTAGCAGTTACACCGGCGGGCCCCGGTGGCAATAAACTAATAAAATCAAAAGCTTACCTTGACTTGGAAGAGTTCCAGTGTTGTGTTGGATAGTTATAGCCAGCTAGCTAACATAGCATCCCTCTGTTTGAACCGGGTGTTTGAGTAGGCTAAACTAGCTAGCTGCATTTGCTAGCTAAGTAAGTAAAACTCAAAGTGAAAAGAAAATGACAAATCACTCTCTCTATCTCTCTCTTGCTTCTCCTTCATTTTTGAAGAAATTAATTTGTTGAAATTAATTTGTTTCTCTCTCTTTGAGTCAACTACTCACCCCATTTTATGCACTGCAGTGCTAGCTAGCTGTAGCTTATGCTTTCAGTACTAGATTCATTCTCTGATCCTTTGATTGGGTGGACAACATGTCAGTTCATGCTGCAAGAGCTCTGATAGGTTGGAGGACGTCCTCCGGAAGTTGCATAATTACTGTGTAAGTCAATGGAAGCCTCCTAGGTTTTGTATTGAAGTCAATGTACCAAGAGGAGGACGGAAGCTAGTTGTCCTCCGACTACACCATGGTGCTACCCTACAGAGTGCTGTTGAGGCTACTGTAGACCTTCATTGCAAAACAGTGTGTTTTAATCAATGATTTGGTGACGTGAATATATTTAGTATAGTTTTATCTAAAAAGGATAACTATTTTTATGAAATTCACTGAGGAGCCTCCACTGATACACAAAGAAACGGCACTGCCTCCACATAATTCATGTCATCATAATAATGTAGAGCTCTCTTCGTCTCTTTACTTGCACACAATATAGCTGGGTCGCCCCGCCTCAGCCCTAGGGGTCCGCCGCCCTGCTGCGCCCTAACCCAACACACCCTACTCAGCTTCAGAATCTTAGGGAAACATACATTATTGACTTTTGGTGTACTAGGCCAGGGCCAGAGCGACAACCCACAGGATGGCAGACCCCCAGTGTGAGGACTGAGCAGCCCATCAGATAGGTATAGCCTGAAGATGTATCTCCCTGACGTGGGCATGTTTTCAATACAGATTCTTATTGTATTCAGTACAATGCCTCCATACATAACTTGACATTTCTGCCATCCATTGTGACATTGTGGGAGGATAACCAACCTTTCAATTAATGGCAATGCATTTCTTAGCCGCTATAAATGCTAGGTTACTCAGTTTCTCCTGATAAGTCTCCAGTATCAACATTTCAAAGCAAACAAAAACGGAGAGAATGTTAATCTGTAGACATGCTGAGATAAAAGAACATACACTTTGCCAGAATTCAGACAGCTTTTCACAAGACACATAACCTTTTAAATGCTTCCAGTGCTTCAGTCTTTTAATCTTTTAACTTTTAATGTCTATGTTTACACTTTGCTTTGTTTGGCAGCACTTTTACTGGGCCATTAAAGGTAGTAACTCTTTAAACGTAATTGGATAATTCCGCGAAATGTAATGGGATAGTTCAGCGAAATATTAAACGTAATGGGATAGTGCAGATGTTTGTTTCCATACCTCGCAAGCAGTTTATGGACTGCTCTAATGGGTGACTGCAATCCACACTTTGGTTTTGGTAGAAAAGTCTGTCAACAAATTGTAATGTTTCCATTTTCTGACAAAAAAAAAAAACTCTACACAGCATAGGAGTTACACATCACACTATTACAATAGTGACTGTTTTGGATAAAAAATCTCAATATATTTTCTTAAACATCCTCTGTGTTGTGTGAGTATTGTTTAACCATTGATATGTTCAAGGGGTCATTTTGAGACCTTAAGGAGCATCAGGTACTGCTGGAATGCCTACCAATGGCATGTCCATATTTTTGTGAGAAATAACACTGGTCACTCAAAACATTTGTGAAAGTATTTATGAAATATACATAGCCCTCACTTTACATTAGGCCACCCAAAAATACGTAACTAATGATTAGTAAATGGTTTATAAGGACACAAATTAAACATCTTATGAATTATCTTATGAATCATTATTCAAGTTGTTTATACATGTGTGAATAACTAGCTTACTAACATTTACAGATGTGGGAGTAATGATTAATAAATTATTAATAAACTATTTAATCATCCATTATAAATGCTTTATTACAAGGTGGTATTATAAAGTGCTACCTTTTTCTGATCGAATCCCAAACTGTTAGATAACGTTAAACCTGAAGAAAGATCAGACTCCCCTCAGACTCATTGGAATGAAATCCTGTTCAAAATCAGAGATGAAAGAACATCATAATTGAAAATATCAGGGTATATATAAATATACTTAGATTATTAGTCCTAGGACTAGATGTACCTTATTAAAATAAATTGTTTACGTAATAATAGATTGGATTATGTTGCCCCCATGACTCATCCTCTGTGTCTGCATCCCAAATGGCACCCTAATCCCTACATAGTGCCCTATGGGCCCTGGTCAAAAGTAGTGTACTATATAGGGAATATGGTGCCATTTGGGACACAACCTGTGTCATCCTCTGACTGACATACTGTTTGTCTTTCTCCTGTCCAGTGGGGATTGTTCCTCCCAGGACTAAGTCTCCCATGGAGGACCAGGGCCACTCCTACGACCATGGAATCTCCCGACGCAACGGCAAGGTGCCTAATGGAATCTCCAGGGTAGGCAGCATGCCGGAGAGGGCTTTATGGAGCTCAGGAAACTCACAGGCTATATGCATTATATTATATGATCCATACACATTATGTATTGTAACTATATTATGATAGTGTTACTCATTGATGTTGCCTTTATGTTGTGGTGGTGGGCCTATGTCTGGTATATTGAATGGTGCTGTCAAATTTCTCATTTAAAGAGCAATACATTTGATGCTTTATCATATCATTGACATGTCATTCCCCTCTTCCAGGAGCGTCCGAAGAGTGCGGTGTTCCCGGCGGAGGTGAAGTCCAAGATGAGCGTTGAGGAGCAGAATGAGCGTATCCGTAGGAACCAGAGCAGCTCCGTCAGGGACAAGAGACGCAGCCTGAACCTGGGTAGCCAGGCTGGTACCAACTACAGAGTGGTAGGCTCTCACTTCTATTTACATGTACACTACCGGTCAAAGGTTTTAGAACACCTACTCATTCAAGGGTTTTTCTTTATTTTTACAATTTTCTACATTGTAGAATAATAGTGAAGACATCAAAACTATGAAATAACACATATGGAATCATGTAGTAACCCAAAAAGTGTTAAACAAATCAAAATATATTTTATATTTGAGATTCTTCAAATAGCCACCCTTTGCCTTGATGACAGCTTTGCACACTCTTGGCATTCTCTCAACCAGCTTCACCTGGAATCCTTTTCCAACAGTCTTGAAGGAGTTCCCACATATGCTGAGCACTTTTAGGCTGCTTTTCCTTCACTCTGCGGTCCGACTCATCCCAAACCATCTCAATTTGGTTGAGGTCGGGGGATTGTGGAGGCCAGGTCATCTGGTGCAGCACTCCATCACTCTCCTTCTTGGTAAAACAGCCCTTACACAGACTGGAGGTGTGTTGGGTCATTGTCCTGTTGAAAAACAAATTATAGTCCCTCTAAGCTGCAGAATACTGTGGTAGCCATGCTGGTTAAGTGTGCCTTGAATTCTAAATAAATCACAGACAGTGTCACCAGCAAAGCACCCCCACACCATCACACCTCCTCATCCATGCGTTACGATGAGAACTACACATGCGGAAATCATCCGTTCACCCACACCGCGTCTCACAAAGACACGGCAGTTGGAAACAAAAATCTCAAATATGGACTCCAGACCAAATGACACATTTCCATCGGTCTAATGTCCATTGCTCGTGTTTCTTGGCCCAAGCAAGTCTCTTCTTCTTATTAGTGTCCTTCAGTAGTGGTTACTTTGCAGCAATTTGACCATGAAGGCCTGATTCACACAGTCTCCTCTGAACAGTTAATGTTGAGATGTGTCTGTTACTTGAACTCTGTGAAGCATTTATTGGGCTGCAATTTCTGAGGCTGGTAACTCTAATGAATTTATCCTCTGCAGCAGAGGTAACTCTGGGTCTTCCATTCCTGTGGCGGTCCTCATGAGAGCCAGTTTCATCATAGCACTTGATGGTTTTTGTGACTGCACTTAAAGAAACTGTCAAAGTTCTTGAAATGTTCCGTATTGACTGACCTTCATGTCTTAAAGTAATGATGGACTGTCGTTTCTCTTTGCTTATTTGAACTGTTCTTGCCATAATATGGACTTGGTCTTTTACCAAATAGGGCTATATTCTGTAAACCCTCCCTACCTTGTCACAACACAACTGATTGGCTCAAACACATTAAGAAGGAAAGAAATTCCACAAATTAACTTTTAAGAAGGCACAGCTGTTAATTGAAATGCATTCCAGGTGACTACCTCATGAAGCTGGTTGAGAGAATGCCAAGAGTGTGCAAGGCTGTCATCAAGGCAAAGGGTGGCTATTTGAAGAATGTCAAATATAAAATATATTTTGATTTGTTTAACACTTTTTTGGTTACTACATGATTACATATGTTTTATTTCATAGTTTTGATGTCTTCACTATTATTCTACAATTTAGAAAATAGTAAAAATAAAGAAAAACCCTTGAATGAGTAGGTGTTCTAAAAGTTTTGACCAGTAGTGTACATCTACCTTTATTAGCCAGCCACCAAGAATATGTACTGAATGTTGAAATGTATTCTAAAGGAGGATCTAGTATATTGTTCTGGCCCCTTGTCTGTTTCTCCGGGCCATGTTGATTGGCTGAGCCCTTGGCTCTTTCCTGATTGCTTATCTCTGTGTGTGTGTCCAGGTGAGGCGGAGGCTGACGACCCATGAGGTGGACATCAAGGACCTGGAGGCTGCAGTACGGGGGGAGGGGGTGCAGGAGTCACCCCGGGAAGAGATTGCTCGCCTCAGACGGTTACAGATGGAACCTGACCACTACGACCTGGACATCAGCAAAAAGGTTAGCCACACTCTGACCAACAACTACACTGTGTGATACAATCATTATGTGACTATGATCCAGTCGTGACGTGGTATAGTAGTGTTTAATGTAAAGTGAATTAAACACTTTGAAAACAGCCAAAGTTATTTCAGTAACACTTCATTCTGTGGAGCTCTTTCAGCTGGTATTTGTCTGGTATAAAGAAATGTGGTGATAATTAACAAGTTTAGTACACACTAAGAAAAGTGGATTCCTCAATGGTTCTTTGGGAAGGGTGGTGGTTCTATGTGGAACCATAATTACTCAAATAACCCTTTTAGCCCTTCAATGGTTATTTGCAGTTCACAAAAGGGTTCTTTGCTCTTTTGGTGATGATGAAGATGTAGAGGCGGCAGCTCATTCGAATATTTTGGGGCGTGGTTTGCTCACAGCTCCTTTTGTGCAACCGTGACTTACTGTCATTCCAGTTGATCTAATCTGTTGTGTTATGCCATTACATGTTACATATGATAACGGTCAGTGACGGTTTTTTTGTCAATTGAGAACTGATGTGTAAATCAGTGGTTCTCAATTCTCTCCTCAGGAACCCCCAGTCGTTCCAGATCTAGCACACCTGTTTCAACTCACAATAATAAAACCTATGGAATTGTAACAATATAACATGGCTAACCAGAAAAAAGAACCCTGTATTGTTCTTCAAAAGGTTATTTCTAGAACCTTTGAAATTGAGAATGGTTCTTTATAGAACCATTCTCCATAAAGGTTCTGTAAAGAACCATTAAAAATGGTTCTAAACAGCACGAAAAAGGGTTATAACAATAGCAGAACCCTTTTTGGTGCTACATAGAGCTTTTTTAAAAATAGTTCTTTATTGAATTATAGGAATGGTTCTTTATAGCACCATAAAGGGATCTGCTATCGTTACGAGCTAAATAATCCTTATTTGGCCCTATATAGAAAAGTTAGTTTTTAGTGTGTGCAGGCTTCAAAGAATTCCCCACAATCGGTCATTACTTGTATACGTAATGGTTCTTCTAATTGCATACCAGGTATAAAGCGGGCCATAAAATAAAAGATTACCAAACCTCATCTGTAACGTGTTGTGTCCTCAGCTGTGTGCTCCAGACAACGTTCTGATTCCGGAACGCTACCTGGATGTGGACACTCCTCTCAGCCCAGAGGAGCAGAAGGAGAAACAGAAGAAAGTAGAGAGGATAAAGACGCTCATTGCCAAATCAAAGTATGTACAGACACTACCGAACTACTATCTAACACAGCTCTCTCACAGTACAGCAGTGTATTTACCCAAACTTTAGCTAAACATTCTCCCCTCTACTGATTCACTGTTTCACATCTGAAGTATGGGATGCCACATGTTCTGTATAAAAAGTTAGAATTGAATCTCCTTTCTCTTGCTCTCTGCTTATTTTCTTTGTCACTCTCTCACCCTCCTCTCCCCCTCCCCTCTGCTCGTCTCTCTCTCCAGTCTCCAGAACGTGGTTCCCCTATTGGACGGTCCTACTGAGGGGGGTGGTTCCCACCAACAGGGTAACCCAGAGCAGCAGCTCCAGGACCAGGAGAAGAGGATTGAGATCTCCTGTGCCCTGGCCACCGAGGCCTCGCGACGCTCCCGTCTGCTCTCCGGTGAGGACATCACCGCAGCCTGTCGCTTCACCGCCACCACCCCGACCACCCTGTCGCCACGGTTACCACCCTCACGGTTACCATTGCCCACCCCGGTCCCGTCGCCCCCCTGTCATTGAGGGGACCCCCGGCGATGAGTGCCGATGTGTTGCTGCAACACCCCCCACCCCCACCAAAACCCCTTCTCTCCCTGCCTCTATGATACCCATTTCCACCACCAACCACACATGTTCAATCCCTCTTCAACTGTGTGCAGCACACTGAGCACTCAACATCACTAAAAGCTGTGTATGGGGTTAGACTGGAGGTTAACCTAGTCAAACTGCCTTGTTCGAAAAAACATCTGGTGGTAAAATATACAGCAAACTTTTTTTTTGGGGTTTTGAGGGCCAGTTCCATCAATTTTAAAATCCCAATGTAATCCCTAGTTAAGCCTCACTGTCAACTGTCTGCAAACAACTCCACTATCCACCACTTAACCCCAGATAATCACACACTCACTCCTTCACTGTCTGCTGTATTGCAATACAATCCACTATCCACTACCCACTCACTACCTAACCCCAGCCAACCACACCCTCACTCCACCAAGCGACGTATGTAACAAGCTCCTCAGACCCCGAGTGCTGATCTAGGATCAGGTTCCCCCTGTCAATGAAATCTTATTAATTGTGATCTAAAAGGCAAAACTGATCCCAGATCAGCACTCCTACTCTGAGACACTATAAAAACGGGCCTTGAGCTCAGATAGATTTATCGCTGTTCAGGGATCTGTATCCGCTCTTACTGGAAGTGCTTATTAACCTTGTCCATTCACAGGGCATCCTAATACAGTGGCACATTTTCACTGTCCCCAGAGCCATAGATTAACAGAAATTTGATAAACTCAGATGAACCGAGATTTAGAGTATGAAAATGTTGCCATGTTGCCACCAGATGTTCCAGGATGATAATCTTCCATTGAGAAATGCAAATTAGAATGGCATGTTATGGAACGTCTGGAGCTAGCAGGGAAGATTGTTTTCACTGTCTGCCTCACTACCCCACCCCTCTCCACAATATTCATTGTCTGCCTCACTACCCCACTCCTCCACTCTCCACAATATTCACTGTCTGCCTCACTACCCCACTCCTCCACTCTCCACACTATTCACTGTCTGCCTCACTACCCCACTCCTCCACTCTCCACAATATTTACTGTCTGCCTCACTACCCCACTCCTCCACTCTCCACAATATTTACTGTCTGCCTCACTACCCCACTCCTCCACTCTCCACAATATTCACTGTCTGCCTCACTACCCCACTCCTCCACTCTCCACACTATTCACTGTCTGCCTCACTACCCCACTCCTCCACTCTCCACAATATTTACTGTCTGCCTCACTACCCCACTCCTCCACTCTCCACAATATTTACTGTCTGCCTCACTACCCCACTCCTCCACTCTCCACAATATTTACTGTCTGCCTCACTAACTCACTCCTTAACTCTCCACACTATTCACTGTCTGCCTCACTACCCCACTCCTCGACTCTCCACAATATTTACTGTCTGCCTCACTACCTCACTCCTTAACTCCACACAATATTCACTGTCTGCCTCACTACCCCACTCCTCCACTCTCCACAATATTCACTACACACTCTGATGCTCCACTGTCTTAACCTAGAGGCTCTACTATATAGTCCTTGAAGATCGCAAGATCTCCTATAGTTAGATCGACAGAGTTTCCGTTTGCTCAAAACTATGACAATTTCTCACTGCTTACTCGCTGTCTCTGCCCCCCTACCCACAACCAACCACATATTCACAATGGCATCACGGTTTACTTTATGATTAGGGGAAATTGAACATCAACTTGTCAGCTTTAAGTGATGAGCTGAAGGAAAACAAAACTGGCTTTGATTGATCAACTTATAGTGCTATTAGTATTCAGTCACATTGTGTGCTGCCTGCTGTCAGTCGTGGTCATAAAACCATGTTCCAGCTGCACAGAGTTAAAACCAATTCAAACAAGGTTTGTACTATATACGGTATCTGTGTTACTCTGGTGATGCCAGATAGCAACTGTTTTATTTTGTCTAGCCTCCAGAAAAGAACTTTTCAAATGTTTTCACCATATTACCTTTATAATCATAGTATCCTCTCCATATATTCTCCAAGTAGGCCTACAATTTGTTACTTACGTTCATGCTTTCTATAGTTACAAGTTTACCTTGTAAATCTAATCTCTAGCTGTTCAAACTGTAAAAAATTTTGAAAAGTGTTCTGAATGTGTGTAGCCAAACTCCAGATTCAGGTGCAATGTATACACGCTACATCCTCTTGCTTCCTCAGTACAGAGCTACAGGCTTAGCACCATTCATCTTATGCTTGTGAGGTGATGTGAGTGCACAGTCCCCCCTGTTGTATCTCACTCTACCTACCCTTTTATAATTGCTTTACACCTTTATGTTTTGCTATTTGTTTTGCTTGTTCTCACATCCCACCCCCATTCCATTCCAGCCCAGTGTGCCCCCAGCCCCCCCGCCTCCCCGCCCAGCCTGGCCCCTCCCCCCTCCTGTGGCTTCTCCGACTCCACCCACATCATGAAGGTGTGAGTCTGTGAAGGTGAGTCCCCGCCCACCAACCACACCTACCTCCTCCCTTAACCCCCCACTCCACCTCAACCCCTTGCTGGTCGCCTTCTCCTACCTCACACCCCTTCCCTCACCTCTCCTGGTTTGGGCAGGGCTCTCTGTTTTTCCCTCAGGTGATTTCTTGACCAATGGCAGCAGGTGGACTTCAAAGGATATTTTATTGTTACCTTTTATTGCTATCTGCTTGGCTCAATTGTTTTACTAACTGGAAAAAAGTTCACAAAGCACTCAATGGCCAGTGCTTACATTAGCTTTTTGCTAAGTATACCAAAATAAACATACGGCAATCGTATATTACTACCAGTCCTTTTCCACATACTGTACTCATTTTAAGGTACGGAAACCATTAATCAATACAGATATAGCCGTGAACTATCCTTTTAAGATTTATGGAGGCCTCCACCTGAAGTCGGGAATATCTGTCTCTCAGTTTGTGCTGATGCAGGACATAGAGAGGAAGTGATGCTGAAGTGATGCTGTTATTAGAGAGAGTGATGACAGCTGACTCAGATCTGAAGTTGTACACCGGGTCAGATTACTATTATCACGGGGTCGGATCAGTAGGGCTAAGCTGTTATTACTATTATCATGGGGTCGGATCAGTAGGGCTAAGCTGTTAATACTATTATCAAGGGGTCGGATCAGTAGGGCTAAGCTGTTATTACTATTATCACGGGGTCGGATCAGTAGGGCTAAGCTGTTATTACTATTATCACGGGGTCGGATCAGTAGGGCTAAGCTGTTATTACTATTATCACGGGGTCAGATCAGTAGGTCTAACCTGTTATTACTATTATCACGGGGTCGGATCAGTAGGGCTAAGCTGTTAATACTATTATCACGGGGTCGGATCAGTAGGGCTAAGCTGTTATTACTATTATCACGGGGTCGGATCAGTAGGGCTAAGCTGTTATTACTATTATCACGGGGTCGGATCAGTAGGGCTAAGCTGTTATTACTATTATCACGGGGTCAGATCAGTAGGGCTAAGCTGTTATTACTATTATCACGGGGTCGGATCAGTAGGGCTAAGCTGTTATTACTATTATCACGGGGTCAGATCAGTAGGGCTAAGCTGTTATTACTATTATCACGGGGTCGGATCAGTAGGGCTAAGCTGTTATTACTATTATCACGGGGTCGGATCAGTAGGGCTAAGCTGTTATTACTATTATCACGGGGTCAGATCAGTAGGGCTAAGCTGTTATTACTATTATCACGGGGTCGGATCAGTAGGGCTAAGCTGTTATTACTATTATCACGGGGTCGGATCAGTAGGGCTAAGCTGTTATTACTATTATCACGGGGTCGGATCAGTAGGGCTAAGCTGTTATTACTATTATCACGGGGTCAGATCAGTAGGGCTAAGCTGTTATTACTATTATCACGGGGTCGGATCAGTAGGGCTAAGCTGTTATTACTATTATCACGGGGTCGGATCAGTAGGGCTAAGCTGTTATTACTATTATCACGGGGTCAGATCAGTTTAAAGCTATACACGTTGAATAAAGCCAGGATGCCATATCCAACACATATTCAGCAATGAACCCCAATAATGATAAATTGCTGTTACAGACTTTGAAGCTAACAGACAACACATTCAACTAATAGAAGGATCACTCTTACTGTCAGCACTTTAGTTTAATCATACCATTTGTACAAACTGGGATCAATTACCAGATAGTTTTAGTTAGTTTAAATAGTGAGGGATCGACAATGGGTGGTTACGACGGTAATGCGACCATAATCTTTATAATTCCTCCAGAACACATTCCTGTCATTTCTGGTCAAGAAATCAAACCTCAAAAACTATAGTGATTTATTTCCCTGCATTGTGTTTGGCAAAAACATTCAAGATATCCGCCTTACTTTTAAACATTGGCAGGATCACACATTTGGCTTCCAAAAGCCAAATGCACAAATTGAATGCAGACGTACACCAATGGCACAAGACTGCAATGCCTTTAAAGACCTTGAAGTCCATGGGTAGTATCTTCGATTCAAACCTAATGTCTTTCTGCTTGGCTTATGGTGTTCAGGGTCTATTGTCCGTATACTCACACCAAACAATGTTTTTTTCCTAAATGTATTATATAAAGCGGCGGTCATACTTGCATGACTTTCTATGATCATTGTTGTTGTTTCAAGCTGATAAATCACCACATTTCCTAAGACCATTGTTGACTTGTTTTACCCAGAAGTACAACCATGCAGTAAAAGTATGTTTGCTGGAAAATTACTCAAGTTGACGTTGCACTGCGGCTTTCTCTGCCTGGTTTTGACAACTATTGAGTCCCTTCAATAACCACACTCCAAACATAACAGGAGCACTTCCTGTACTCTGCGACAGGATCCATAGCCGTAATTGGTTCAAACGGGCCTGGAGCGGTTGCCCAAAATGAGGCAGCATAGAGAGTTGTCCTGTGGTCAAATTAGGATTTAGAGTCACACGAATATATAACAGAAAGGGATCTCATCTGAGTTTGGATACATTTCCTTTCTTTGCTTTCAGTTTTCATTGTGTCTCTGTTTTGTAAGAGTTTTATTGGAGTTAAAGTGTATTTATTCTCTCTATCCTCTTTGCCTCTCTTCTCTCCTCCTCTCTCTCTTCTCTCCTCGACTCTCTCTCTCTCTCCTCTCCTCTCTCTCACTCTCTCCTCTCTCCTCTCTCCTCTCTCATCCTCTCTCTCTCTCGCTCTCTCTCTCTCTCTCTCTCTCTCTCTCTCTCCTCTCTCTCTCTCTCTCCTCTCCTCCTGCTCTATCTCTGTGCTCTATCTCTGTCTCTATCTCTTCTCTGTGTCTATCTCTGTTCTTCTCTATCTCTATCTCTGTGTCTATCTCTGTCTCTGTCTCTATATCTGGTCCTCTATCTGTCCTATCTCTATCTCTGTCTCTATCTCTGTGTCTATCTCTATCTCTGTCTATATCTCTGTCTCTATCTCTGTGTATATCTCTGTCTCTATCTCTGTCTCTGTCTCTATCTCTGTGTCTATCTCTGTGTCTATCTCTATCTCTGTGTCTATCTCTATCTCTGTCTCTATCTCTATCTCTATCTATGTCTCTATCTCTATCTCTGTGTCTATCTCTGTCTCTATCTCTATCGCTGTCTCTATCTCTGTGTCTATCTGTCTCTATCTCTGTCTCTATATCTGTGTCTATCTCTGTGTCTATCTCTGTCTCTATCTCTATCTCTGTGTCTATCTCTGTCTCTGTCTCTATCTCTGTCTCTATCTCTATGTCTATCTCTATCTCTGTCTCTATCTCTGTGTATATCTCTGTCTCTATCTCTATCTCTGTCTCTATCTCTGTGTCTATATCTGTGTCTATCTCTATCTCTGTCTCTATCTCTGTGTCTATCTCTGTGTCTATCTCTATCTCTGTGTCTATCTCTATCTCTGTCTCTATCTCTATCTCTATCTATGTCTCTATCTCTATCTCTGTGTCTATCTCTGTCTCTGTCTCTATCGCTGTCTCTATCTCTGTGTCTATCTCTGTCTCTATTTCTGTATCTATCTCTGTGTCTATCTCTGTCTCTATCTCTATCTCTGTCTATCTCTGTCTCTGTCTCTATCTCTGTCTCTATCTCTATCTCTATCTCTGTGTCTATCTCTGTCTCCATCTCTGCCTCTCTCCCTCTTTCTTCTCTAGCTCAAGCTCTGGCTGCCGTTAAGTTTGATGGCACGTCCTTCTGAGGATCCACTGGAATATAAAGAGTAAGCCCAAAGAAACTGGTTTTGTTTAGTCTCTCAGACCGCCCGCCAGACTCTACAACAATACAACAGGAAACAGGAAGCTGTCACAGGAAGTCTGGAAAGTTGGCCACCTGAGGATGTTTTCAAGCCAAACAGACTAATGATGGAGAAACTTAAGGTCCACACCTCCCACCTACCCCAGGGGTTGCTATAACAGCATCCTCCACTCTCCCTCTGTCAATTACCGCACTTACACTCTTCCTCTCAGCCTAGGCCTGGTAGAAAATAGCTTCTCTATAAGGGCAGGAAAAGCGAACAAAACAAAAGCAAATAAAACACGATGGTGTAATTTTTCACAATTTTGGTTGTGGTGCGTTTGATGCAGCATCTGAAGCTACTAAATTAGCCAGAGAGCATGGGGTGTATACATCACTCTAACATGCTCTCCGCCATGGTAAACAGACAGTGAGACAGTTTTTCTCTGTTACTCAGCTCAGAACGGTATCTGCTATGGAGAGATTAGAAAGACCACAGAGACTAGAAGCCCAGGACAGTAGAGTTTTGTGACTGAACGGTTCAGGAGGGCACTTATCGTATGTGATGCACGGATCTCAGTTAAGATGAAAAGGGAAGAAAGACTGGCTGAGCTGGAATTCAGGAAGAATGAGAGGAAGGTTTTTATTGGTGCAGAGAGTAGTAGAACAAATCAGAGGCTGATGTGTTTTGTGTAACAGGAAAAGGTCACGGGGAGAAGGAGGTGAACGGAGGGTCGTTCAAGAACCATAAAGAGATCAAAGTAGCAACAGTAACAGAACAGTACCAGAACAGAATACAGCATCTGAAGAGCAATGTGGTCTTGTCTCTATTTGGCCCCTGGGTCATGTAGTCTTGTCTCATATTGGCCCCTGATTCATTGTCTCAAACTCAGTTAAACAGCCCTTGACCCTCAGAGGCCATTAGTGGGAGAGCTGTACTGCACGCAAGCACAGTATCACACACATACACACACACACACCATTAATTCCCCCTTCAATCCACTGGTGTCAGGGCATGGGTGTACAGCAGCGCTTGATGAGCCCCCCCTCTATTCCTTTCCACCCCTCTCATCCCGGGTGAGGAACACACCTATTGAACCTGACCCACTGTACCTGCCTCCCAGCCCCTTCTCCAGGCGTGGCTACCCCCCTCGGTTCCCTCTCCTGCCTACACCCCGGGCTGGTTGGAACCTGTATGTGTATGTGTGTGACTGTCTACAGGAAG